GCGCTAAACGCCATGCGAAATTCTGGGCGACTTGCTTTCTTTCTTTGGGGGTGATTGCTCCTACCTGATTCGTAGACCGTAGATGCGTGAGTTGCTTTGGGGCGTTCTTTTGTGTGGGTTTCTGCAGCGCCGTCGCCTTCTACAGCAGCTTCTCTGCTTTCATCTTTCGTGCTGACGCCGCAGGATCTGTGCAGCTCTCCGTCGTTCTGGCTGCTGTTCATGATGCTCTTCTTTTCGTGGCAGTCTGTGCTTGTGGCTGCGTACATGTGGAAAATAGTGCCCTTCGCGTTCATTCACAAGGTTCAACCCGGCACGTTCATGGACACTGCCGAGCGGAACCTGTTGCCGGCGACTTCCTTTACGGAGGGCCTCAGCAGCTGGCAAGCGGTCACAGATTTGCAGCTGAGTACCATCGGTGCAGTGGCGGGAGCGCTGTGTGTCGCTGGGCGTTTGGTCTGGGGTTACATCGGCAACAAGGCCGGCAACAAACGAGCCATGGTAAGCGCTAAAGCTTGCTGGCACCTTGCAGATGTGTAAGCATGTAGGACATGGTTCAATCTGCTCGCTGCTGCCGCCATTACATTCTGTCAAGTTGAATATGTCTGATGTCCACAGATCATCATGAATATCTGCATGGCGGCTCTCCTAATTACGTTCATGAACAGCAGTATGACGTCTCCTAGGAACTTCGCAATATGGTGCGTATAGCTTACCTATCTTAGATTACGTCTAAATTGTTTAGGAAAGAATCATCTTGGGAGAAACATGCATCCATGCATGAACTGTTTTCGCGTCAGGCTCGCTCTGCTTAACGCCTGCCACGGAGGGCTGTTCTCGTTGCTGCCGTCATTGACTTCGGATCTATTTGGACACAAGAACTTCGGGCCAGTATTCTCGCTTCTTTTCGCTGCAAGGCTTTGCGCTGCCGCCTGCATTTGCGTCTTGACGAAGGTGCGGCGCTACCTCAAGCACAACCGTGAACTCTAGAATGATGAACCACCCACCCCGTAAAAGGCATCCTCTGCTCGCCTTGCCAGCACCCTAGTTATACCAGCCGGTCTACGCACAAACACATTTGCTGACCGTGCTGCGAGGAGGGCCCAATAAGCTGTGCCTGTGTGCTGTTTGGGTGCCAACGCTCGCTGTACCTTCACCGCGGATACTGACAAATGACCTCTAGCGAAAACGATGTATCTGCTGTTATTGCTGCTGCTGCAGGTGGTTCTTGAGCTTACGGACGGTGTGACGCTCTGCATGACTTTGGCAGGATGCCATGTACTGTGGTGAGCCCGAAGCCCTCTCCACGACAAATCCGGCAACTATCTGCTGTCCAGGGGTGATTACTGAGTACTGAGGGTTAGGGTGACTCCGGGGTTAAGGGCTGCGCCTTCATTGCGTCAGGATGAAGACTGGATTTGTGATGTGGCTGTTTGTGTTGCTGTACGCAGCGCGGGGCTGGCCCTGGCCTTCCACCCAACAGAAGCACTGCCGAACCCATACAAGCTTGTGATGACTTGATCACTGAATTAGGACTTCCTGCCTCATGAACACGCGCTGCACGAGTCGCTGTAGTGTCCTGTGTTCACTGATGCATCACTTGAGCATGTTTACAGAGATGTTAACGTGGAGGTAAACATGTACACGCGTGTATATAGCCTATATACCGGAAAGGCTAAAAATATGCGATTGAGTCTGGGCTGGGACCAACGGCCCCAGGCCACGCACTTTTTTGCTTTCCGAGGTCTTCGACCCATCTCATCGGTTTAACTTTGTAAAGTACTTTCCTAAATTGCGCTTCGT